AAACATTGGTTAAATGACCATTGAGATAGAAGATAGAGCCGTTGGAATGTTGCTATCTGGACCATCTTTACACCACGTTTAACTCACTTTTATTTTAGTGCTTAATTGTATTTCAAATTACATTTCAAAATTGTCAAACACTATCAAAACCCATTTAAACACATTTTTCTTTAGGCTGTGATCATTTTTTATCACTAATTTATTCCAATTTGAAAGTTTTTGACAAAATTTAACCACACCGGAAGTGACCTTGATCTTCTTCTGATAAGAAAATTTTGCGTCACACCAGGTTAAAAGAGTGTTAAACTGTCCTGAAAAAATGTTAAAAACATGGAAACAAATCATTTCAATCGTACGGATATGATAAGAAATTGGTGCTCAAGGCAGTCTTATATCAGCTCTAACAGTCTGAATTTTCCTGAAAGCGGCGCACTAACGTGCTAAAAACGCAAGGATATTGACCAAAAGGCATTGTGTGACGATACACTGTTAAATTCCCGGATCTGAATCCCATTGAACACATTTTGAATTTTAAAAGAAATGTTCAAGCCCCCCCCCCTTTTCTCACAATTTCAATGGTTTGGAAAGATAAATGCAGTACATGTAGGTGTGGCAGCAGATGGGTCAATCTCCTATTCAGGGGTACATGGTATCCAAAAATAAAGATTTTCTTTTAGTAATTAGAGCGAGTAGTGGGTCTTACACAATCGAGATTTTTTGTGTGAATTTTCATTTTGAGGGTACACCATTTCATTGACACTTTGCTTAAAATTCTGACGAGATCCTAACATGAAATTTACGCAACATCGAACTTAAATATGCATCATTAACCAAGAAATGAAGACATTATTTTTTGTTCGCATTTGTCCTTTAAAACTTCAAAAATGTTAGGTGAACACTTAGAAGTTTGGTTCAGTGTATTGTTTATCATTTTATCTTTTTCATCGTTATTAACTTAGAAATATTCCAAAACAAGTTGCACTGTGACAGAAATATGTGGACAAAATATCACCTCGCCCTGTGATTTGGTCGCGCTAGGACCTCTGACCCTATATAAACTTCATGAATACAGAATTAATTGAAGATGTTTTCTCTTCAATAGGTTCATCTAAGTAAGATATTTCCAAATGTAAAAATATATTTAATAAAAATAAACTTCACAGTGTGCATTTAAGATCATTGGCAAGGCAGGGTTTCCGAAGAAAAAAGGTTTTATACATAGGTTTTTCCAGTTATAAAAACAGTCATTGAGAGTGATCTCCCCTTTAGAATTCTCTAGGCGAAGGAAATAAATAAAGCATTTACAGAGGATGTGCTTTTAAACGGATAGAATCAACAATAATGCAAGAAAGAGAAGCAGTGATAGCTTTGTATACATTGTGTAAACTGAAAGGGCAGACAGTCAACAGGTCGTCATTTACCATAGTTATGCTGGGAAGGGCAAAGATGCGACATGTGCTGAAAGTTGCGAAAGCTAGGCTGGTAACCGAATAAGAACAGTTCTATAAGTCATGTGAAGGAAGCACCGTTTAGTAACTACGAATAAGTTATTATAAACCATTATAAACCATACAAATATATTTATGACAATTTGTTTTCAATAACGTAAATTAGAAACTCTTGATCATTGAGAATAATATGTAGGTGTTAAGGGAAGTAACTCATATTAGCTAACAGTACTGAAATTTCTGTGTCTTGTTTCTATATTTTGCATTTTCAGCCAAAATATATACATGTCGTCGGATATAAGGATACAACAATGTATTTTATTCAAAACGTCTATGAAATAAATGGGTTTTAGAGAAATCGTATGGTTAAAAATTATGTAGGTCCTTTTTATCAACATTTTACATAGGAAATGCATTGACTCTGATTGAGAATTGTGAAAGCATTGATTCGACAAAATCTAAAAAGAAAGGCTGGCTTGGTGGGTTATGAACTAGAATTAAATATGTTTGGTACCATTAAACATGTTCAAAAATTCATGAAAATTTCTATACTAAATCAGAAACATTGCCAATGTCCTTAAATAGGCGTTGGAACAAAGTCTTAGCATTTTCATCTTCTTCGCAAAAACTTCTGGACCAATTTCAACCAAACTTGCCACAAAGTATCTTTAGGTGAGAGTGATTCAGGTTTGTTACAATGAATGACCACGTCCTTTTCATATTTGGAATTCCTGGGTTGTCTACGCATGTCAAAATTGAATTCATGGTGTGTTTTTATTATTACGTGATGTGCTTATATTATTATGTGATGTGCTTTTAAATTATGTAATGAGCTTTTATCATTTTGTGGTGTGCTGTTGACATTATGTGATGTGCATTTGTCATTATGTAATGCGGTTTTGTTATTAAGCACGTCATATTATGGTAAAAGCACACCATATAATGATAAAAACACATTCCGTAATGACAGATGCACATCAAATTATGACAAATGTAAACAATCTAATGACAAGAGCACATCACATTACGACAAATGAAAACAATATGATGACAATAATACATCATATTATTACAAATTTACACCATATAATGACTACAACACATCGTATTACAATAAAAACAAATCGCATAAGTACAAGAGCACATCTCAAAATGATGATAAATGCGCCTCATGAATTCATTTTTGTTATAACGAGACAGTAAAGTCTAGACGTATCGACGTTCTATATTTTACCATAACTTTTAAAAATGTGTGCTTTGATACTTACATTTCAGTGTTTTTAGCCCACCTAAGCCGAAGGCTCAAGTGAGTTTTTCTGATCAAAATTTGTCCTTTGTCTGTCGTTGTTGTCGTTGTCGTCGTCGTCGTAGTCGTTGTTGTCGTTGTAAACTTCACATTTTCATCTTCTTCTCAAAAACCATTGGGCCATTTTCAACCAAACTTGCTACAAAGTATCCTTGGGTAAAGGGGATTAGATTAAAGTTTGTTAAAATGAAGGGCCACGCCCTTTTCCAAGGGGAGATCAGATTATGAATTAGAGAAAAATCATTGGCGTTTTTTAAAAATCTGCTGCTTTAGAACCACCAGGAAAGATGAAACTCATGTGGAATCATCCTCAGGTAGTATAGATTCAAGTTTGTTCAAATCATGACCCACGAGGGTAGGGTGGGGCCAAATGGCCGATCAAAGTTTTACAAAGGAATATATAGGAAAAATCTTTAAAAATCTTCTTCTCAAGAACCACTGGGCCAGTAAAGATAAAACTCACGTGGAATCATCCTCAGGTAGTATAGATTCAAGTTTGTAGAAATCATGACCCCCGGGGGTAGGGTTGAGCCAAAATGGCCGATTAAAGTTTTACATAAAAAATATATATGAAAAATCTTTAAAATTCTTCTTCTCAAGAACCACTGGGCCAGGAAAATTGAAATTAATGTGGAATCATCCTAATGTAGTGTAGATTCAAGTTTGAATAAATCATTACCCCCGGGGGTAGGGTGGGGCCAAATGGCCGATCAAAGTTTTACATAGGAATATATAGGAAAAATCTTTAAAAATCTTCTTCTCAAGAACCATTGAGATAGGAAAGATGAAACTATCCTCAGGTAGTGTAGATTCAACTTTTTTTTCAAATCATGACCCCCGGGGGCATGGTGGGGCCAAAATGGCCGACCAAAGTTTTACATAGGAATATATAAGGAAACCTTTTAAAATCTTCTTTTCAAGTACTTCAAAGCCATGATTAGTAATTTTTTTATGGAATCATCCTTAACTTATGTAGATTGTAGTCCGCTCAAATCATGACCCCCTGGGTTATATTCAAGCCCCCCCCCCCCAGCTCAGTAAACTTTTAGTTCTGATCTGATATGTGCTTTTTCATAGCAGATGTGTTCATGTGAGCGCTGTCGCCCTGGGCCTCTTCTTTTAATCATAGTCTTTATGTTAAACACTTTCATACATATATACTCAAAGAAAAAAGATATGCATATTCCGATTAATATGAAAATCTAAGTTTTCAGTTTAAACCTTATTTTATTTAAGTGATTTTAGAGTGCGTTGTGATAAAAATCAAACATGTCTTATTGAAAAGTCGAGATGATTTCATTTTCATCGCTCCAAAATTCAAGGGGCATAACAATATGTACTGTGCGACGTATCAACGCTAGTGGGTTTCCATTGTATGGATGTCGTGGACGAATACCATCTCCTCTCAGTCTCATACGAACAATTTGTGCACTTTTCTGCTGATTTCTTCAACCAGCAATTGTAGCAGCAGTTTATGCAGAAGTTCTGACTCGATTGGTGACGGGGGTCTGACGGTCCTTTCTGGGTGTGGTAACCCGTTGACGGCCAGTTTTTGGTCTGTTATCCGTTTTCTTAGCTGGTGGAGAAGTACGTTAAATCACTGCAAAGCCGATTGATGTACACTTAATGCAACTGCAACCTCCTGTTCCGTAGCTCCGGTTATCATCATAGTTAGTCCGTGTTGCGTTCATCTTTGTTAAGGCTTGAAATTGCAGCATCAACATTGCTATCAAATCTTAAATATGGGTTTAATAGGGGTGTTTATTTTTCTCTAAGTCCAAAATATCAATGAAAATGGACCCCCGATTTACTAGAAATTCTGAAAAACACTATTTTCATAAACATGATTATTCAAGGGAAATAATTCAACACTTGGGTCTTAAAACCTCATGGTGTCCTATAAAAAGATCAGGGATATCTAATGATAAAAAAGTAGTTGTTCCATATACTTTTTCAAAATTTCTTTGATGATTTAAACAATATGCGTTTCTTTTTTTGTGATGTACATATAACTATTAGACCTGCATACATATGGAATGAAAAGTAATTTTTTTCCCTAAAATTCAAAATACTGATAAATCAAATAAATGTGCACGTTTCCTTATTTTAATTCATCCTTAATGAAAATTGAGAAGAGCATCCTCAGTATGAAAAGTAATAACACAGTATAACGGACATCAAAATGAAGTGTCTATAACATGTGAAGAGAAAATTGTAATGTGTACAGAGATATTGCAATATATTATTTATAACATACTTATAACACCAGATATCAAAATAAATATGCTTTATAATATGTACATGTAAATAGAAAACATTAATTACTGGAACTTGTACATTTCCTAAGTGTAAAAAAAAGTGTGTATATCTACATCTGTTCCCTAACTAATTGCGGGTTAATGGAATACTTCTACACGCAATTAGCATGTAATTAATTGTCAAAAAACTATGATACTTTTTGTAATATTTCTGCCAGCAGTGAAAAAAATCATTTTATCTAGTGTCGAGATGACCGTCTTTTTATCAATGACGCTGATATTATATAGCTGAGAGTTCCTGAAAATAAATGCCTTCGAAATGTATAGAATGGTTACGGATTATTTTAATAAAAACATTAACAAAGTATTTTCTTAGACTAATTGTACAAAAAATAAAAATCGTCTTCAATATTTTCGAAGCACTATAAATCAAGACGAACGACTCAGACTCTGTTTATAATAACTACATTTCTTTCATTAGTCAGACTCATGCTCATCGTTATCGTTCCATCTTCTGAAAAAGTCAAACATTTCTGTCACAGGATTTGGGCCTATTGGATTTTTTGCGCTTTGATCATTTCTGACTAATTCTTTTATTCCAATTTTGGCAGCTTGAAGATAGGTATGAATTGTGTATTTATTTTCGAATAATTTAATGTCTTTATTTCGTAGTAGCCCTTCTATCCTCATAAAACGGTCCTTATTTCCATAATTCTGAATAGCCAAAAGTAGTGGTGTCAAATTTTCTTTGTTTCTCATGTTAATATTTGAACAATTTTTCAAAAGCATACGCATTGCATTGTAAGTAAATGTTGCCAAAAAATTTGACTTTGCGCATAAATGCAAGGGACTATTACCATCATTGTTTACAACGTTCGGATTTGCTCCTGATGTAAGTAAAAATTCCAACTGTAGAAGTCCTCTGCGGTGATAAAATGCATTCTCATATGCAAATTCATAGTCTTTTAGGGTCGGGTAACATTTTAAAATAAACATCCACATTCTATCTCTTTCTTCTTGAATTGTATGGGATGAAAAGAGAATATGTAGAGGAGTATTACCTTCAGAGTCCTTCTCATTTACATTTGCCCCGAGTTTTACACATAATTTTGTAAGTGCAAGTGAGGTTTTTAATACTGCTATTTTCAATGGCTCAAAAAGGTCGCTTTTTCTTAATTGTAGCAGTAATATACATAGAAAGTGCAATGTCTGCTTTTGTTCATCTGATGGGCTAAGAAAGGTCATGTAGTTTAAAATATATTCTTTCAAATATGTGGTGAAAATATAATCCCTTAGTAATGGTTGATAAGCGTTGATAAGCATATCTAGTGATTCAGTAGAGCACATTATTTTTCCTGTTGTTTTTAAAGCAATTGTCAAAGCTGTTTCGCCTTGAGCATTTTTAGCATCAACATTAGCATGTCTCAGAATTAGGAATTGTAAAATTTTTTGCTTTTCTTTAAAAGGTCTATTTGACGAAATGCAATAATGAAGGGCAGTATCTCCCGATTTAGAACGGTGATCTACATTAATCCCTTTACGGATCAAATACATTATCACATTGATTCTATTTGCTTTCGACTTTTCCGTTGCTGTATATAATATTGCTGTTTGCAAGCAATTTAATCCATTTTTATCTGTTATTGTTAAAAGGGTACGATCATTCATTAAAAATTTGAATACTGTTTCCAATTCTGAATCAGGGCATTTTGAGCCAATAAGTTCAAAAACGTAACTCACACTTTCTCCTTCAGAAAACAGTTTAACACGTGATCCCTTACTTATCAAGAAAGATAACACATTTCCCTCTCTTGGTTTTTTTACTGCCTCAACGAATGCATCTGTGAAATTTTTGACATTCAGTTGACATGATAACTTTTCCAAAATTTCGATGAATATTTCACCTGTCATGTCTGAATGAACCATATCAGGTATCAAATCTTTTAAAGACCTTCTTGTTAGTGGGGTTGCAATACTTATCAAGTAATTCAGAAGGTTGTACTTTTTATTTCTGAAAGTTGTCCTTATAGCGTTTTTATCATTTAAAAAAGATAGCATTTTTGGCTTACATATATCTAGTATACTTTTGATTCTTAGAATATGTTCATCCTCCTTCAGATTCGCAGAAACTAAATAACTGCAAACATTTCTGTTTTCCATGTCAAATTCTTCCAGACGTAATCCTTTTGATAATGCCAAAGAGAACAGATTTTGTGTTGGACAGTTTTCCGATATTAACATTAAAAGTGTTTTTCCGTCTTCAGTTTTAATTTTCCACACGTCTTCAGTTATATTCAATTCATGAATTATATCAAACATGAACTGAGGATCACAAAGTCTATTTGCAAATGCATTTACCAGAAGCTTCGGGTGTGTATTAAGAATATTCTTATCCTGCAAGAGATACCGAATGATGCTTCTAAATTGTCTCTCAATTGCTATGTCCAGAGGTATTTTCCCGGAAGTATCTGGCACTTCGAGAGAAACGTTTATTTCCTGCAAGTACATCAAAATTGACAATGCTTCGTCTTCGGTACTTTTCGAGAGAACCATGAGAGCGATAGTAAAACCTTCACAATCCGACAAAGAAGCATTTCCCTTATATCCAATTAAAAGCTGAATAAATGGAATACCGAAATTGGCAGCTAACATAGTCGGGGTAATACCATCTTTATTTTTCATGTTTGGATCAGCTCCTAATTTTAAAAGGTTTTCTATTTCTTCTAATTTTGGTAATGAGCTTTTAACGGATAAGAGAAGGTGCAAAATTGTTCCATCAGTTTTCTCATCTTTTATGTTAATGTCTAGCCCAATCTCAATGAGTTTCTCTATTCTTTTAAAATTGAGTCCATACTGATGGCGGAATTGGAAACTCCGTCTCTGAAAAAGACTACAAGTTGTATCTTTAAGCATATTATGTAAGATTGGTAATTTATAAGTGTCTTTGATATTTGGATCCGCTTTAATTTTCACCAACACATCGAAAACTTTATTTCCCATGAAAACCGCATAAAAAAGAGCAGAGCGACCGTCCATATCCCTTGCATTAATTTGAATCCCATATTTTACAAGAATATGAGCGGTTTGAAATCGAATTTTAGAGGATCTTGCAGCTGAATGTAATGGATTTCTACCTCTGGTGGTTGAAACATTCACTTTTGCTCCATATGTGATGAAAAGTTCTATCATTTCTGCAACTTCATTGTCCTCTTGATCAGATTTTACGAGAGTGTGAAGAACACTCAGGCCATTCTCATTCCTACAGTTCAAAAGTTGAGGGGCTTTCAAGCATACCCATTTGCAAATTTCTTTATTAAGTATACTATCATTGAATATTTTTCGAGTCCATAAATGCAACGGAGTCAATCCACCTAATATGCATCGCAATTGTAAAATGTGTGGATGATATTCATGCAATATTTTTATTATGTCGAGTGACTTTGCATAATGAAAAGGCGTGTAACCTTTATTGTCCCGGACACGAAATTCGATCAAAGGGTGTTCTAATAAAATTTTCAAAAGGCGTGCGTTATTTTGGATAACAGCTAAATGCACCATGGACATGCCATTGTCTTCAATAAATCCTAACCTAGCCCCTTTTTGAAGTAAGAACTGCAAAACCTTTGGTTGATTGCCATAAATAGAGGCCATGACAGGGGTCATCTTTCTAACTAGAATTTCGTGACCAAAATATTCATCAAACAACCATTCAAAGAACCAAAATTCCTTTTCAAATTCCTCATAATCATCCTCTCCAAATGTTTGGAAACTACTTTCTGCATTGATATCACCTCCAAATTTTATCAAAAGCTCCAAGCACTCTATATTCAAACCTCTATATGATGCAGCAATTAAGCCATCAGAAGTGTCTATTTGCAAAGACGATATATCACCTGCGGCGGCTTGTGATGCACATTCACCCAGGGTATACGAGACAAGTTTTTCTTTTCTACACCAAATAGCCCAGAAAATAGCTGTTTTATCTAAAGGACCAACTGACTGCATGAATCCAATCATGTTTTGAAAAATACTTGGATTGTTTGAAATAAAACGATCAAATTCTGTTATAAAACAGAGATCATCCCAGCACCGATGTTTCATAATAATGGTTAATTTGTATTTTTTATCTTCATATTCATCAATCAATCTTTGGGCTAAGGCATTGAAATAACACTTTGGAATGATTTGCATGAAATAAGCATCGTCTTGTTCAGAACTTGTCGTAGCTGTTGATGACAAAATATAATCGAAATCAAATTGTTCTAAAACAAGTTTTAGATGCGTTTCCGCGATGCTAGCCATTGTGGCTTCTTTGTACGTTTCATGAGAGAAGGAGAACACATCACCGTCATCAGATTGGAAATATATACCTCTCAGTTTTATGAATGTTTTGATTATGTCTTTGAAGGGGGTATTGTCACATAATCCAGATACCCTTAATATGAGCTGTTGTTTCTTTGACTTTTCACAGCTATCGTCCAATGTAGAAATACTGACTTTTCCCATCATTGCTGTCATTACAAATGTGCAATATTTGACTTTATCGTCATGAGCAAACCCCGATATTTCTGATAAAAGTTTTTCTCTTGGATTTTCAAAGAATTTTAATCCTAGTTGGCGGAGTTTTGAAGATTTACTAAAAAGATTTAGGGCGTAAGGAAATCCATATGATGTGTCAATTGAGCATATGGAATCAATTTCATCTTCTGACAAATTTAGGTTAAATTCATCGTTATACATTTGTGCCATTCTTTTTTTCTCTTTAAAAGATAAACATTGATCTTGTGATAAATCCACAATAGCAAATGCTTTGAAGAATGATCCTTTGTCAGGTAGGTGCAAAATGTCTCGAAGTATATAATTTCTCGATGCAAAGATGAGTAATGTTTTTCCTTTATTTTCATCTATTGTACGCCGCAAGTTTTCAAAATAGTGAAACCATTCATTAACACTGCATTTATCATACGTCGTTGTGCCAAATACGTCGTCCATAAAAAATATTTGGCGTTTTGCAACGTTAAGAATGTTTTGAAGATTTTTGACTGAGCTTATACAGTAGGTCGCAAAGCCTTCTGCAGCCTTGAAAGCTAACAATTTTCGACCAATACAAGTTTTTCCATCTCCAGGTCTTCCAGATAGCATGACAAAGTTCAAATCCTCTAGTATCTGTAGCGCTAATGTGAAGGCATAAGTCGTCATGGATATTTCTTTTTCTTTAATGATAAGTTTTGTCGTTTCTGAAATTACAATTTACAAATATACTAGTAATTTTTTTCTTAAAAAGTGTATATAAATAAACATGTTTAATAAAGATTATGAAAAGACAAGAAGATTGCCATATAAATGTGTTTCTTTTTTAAAAATCTCAATAGACTGTAGGCTGCTTTTCCTTGAGATGTTACACAGTGAAAAGCAATTGGATTTAATCATAAAGATTATCAAAAGAGAATGCTTTGACACAAGATAAGTTCTAAAATGTAAGGTTGTCCTTATAATCTTGTTTTGGTCGCTTATTTTTTTATATGTATATTTTTTCATAATTTTTGGATTACATTTTTACCATTCTGCACTTTAAATATTCACTGTTACACTAGTTTAAATTAATTTATGTTTTTCTTTCTTAAAGATAAATTTCAAAAAATGTTTTGATTTCTTTTAGACTAGTTTGGCATGCTTTTGTAAAATTTATTATCTGAAAATGAACAATCTCAATTTAGTTTCTCATCAAATCAATTGATAGTTTGTTATATTTAACGCTGTCCTCCATAATTTTTCAATCATATAAAGACGCCACAACTTGCCAGTAGAGAGCTTCAAATTGTTGTCCTATACTCGGCACTTACGACCATTGAGCAGTGAGCGGTGGTTTGTGCAAGCAGCTATTGCCACCTCGAAACCTCGGTAAAGGATACATACCACAAACAGATTTTCTTATCTTTCACAAAAAAAGTTACACTACATTTTATTACCTCCAGAATTTGCAGTGTGTTTGGTTCTTATTTTATAAAACAGGAAATTGTAGTTATTGTAAACATGTACCATGTGCACAGAACGAAGTCCGGGAAATTTTCTAGCAAGTCCAATATAAGCGTTTCAGAAAGATGTTCGAAGGAAAAAAAGAAGCAAGGTATCAATACATGTATATTCAATGTTGACGAAAAAGATAATATTTGTTCGGACAGTGTTCATGCAGACATTTGAGGAGACAACTCTTTCCTGGCCTGGTTCAATAAATGTCTTTTTTGTGTGTAAATATTTTTTCTCGTTTTATTAGTGTCAAAAAGGCACCCAATTCTTTGGGGTTTTTTTTCAAAAGTTATACCACTGTAAAGACTCTATAAAAATATTAACATATTTAAGGATTGTTTGTACACTTTTTACATCAAGTTTTATCATTTTCTGGATATTGATTAAATTTGAAAGACAATAAGGAAAAAAAGTTTTTGTCTTCCATAAAATATTTGACCCAGGATAATGATCTGCATACCTTCATAAATACAAGCTGTTCATAAAGATGGCAGAAAAAATAAGAAACTGTTAAAGAAAAGATTGAACTAGAAACATACATTTTCCAAACTTTCACTAAATAGTGAATTGTTCAATCATAAAATTGTTAGATGGTAGAATATTTCTTCTTTAGTGAGAAGGGCTTCAGAATGCAGAAAGATGATTCACTTTCTGGGAAAAAAGGTTTGTTTGTTTTATTTATCCTTAATACGGTCTCATTTAAAGGACTGGCTAAGGATCCACTCCTTACTTCGCGACTCTAGAGCAGACGCTATGACTACTGCACCACGTGGAGGACAGAAAAAGGTAAGGTTGAAACAAAGCAGGCATCTCCATTGAGACTGTTAGTACAATACAAACACATGTAGTATCTTAAAGTTTAAAATGCAAATGATTTACTTCAGCATTTATATGACTTATTTATCCCCGTACTTTCTAACGAAAGTTCGGATATATTGTCGTTATCTTGTCTGTCCGACTGACACAATTTCATTTTCCTATAAAACTCATCTTTTATTCTGAGCATTAACCAATAAGTTTTTGAAATATGAAAGGTGGTGCCCGGTAGATGTGCAATAAAGTTATCGAACTTCTAATATTACTCAATGGACAAAACAGGGGTTAAAATGGCGATTTTAAAAACAAAAATCTGATTTCCTAAACTTGTCTTACATTCAACTTAGGAGCCTAATCGTATCTTGGAATATAATTGGTGATAATCTTAAATATGCAATGAAGGTTGAATAGAATTTTCATTTTCAACCCAAGCGTTTGATTTTGATTGAAAATGGTGTTTAATACATTAAACATTCTTGTTTCGAGAGTTCCTCTTACATTTTACGCAGTAGCCTAATCATCTTCTCAAAGATGAATGGTGGTAGTCTGTACATTTGCAGTAATACTTTAGGATTTGATTTTCACTCTTGGGGTCAAATAGGAGAGGGGGGTACTAATCGTACATTTACACAATAGTCTATTCACATTTTTTAAAAACGATTCGTTGCGTCCTATGTATGTGCAATCAGATTTTGTAATTTGCAGTTTTACTTTAGAGGATAGAAATAAAAAAAAAATCCTGCACTTTTTAGCCGACTTTTAAAAACGATAGCAAACTTAAATTTACATTAGATTATGTATAATATTAAAAGCTGATTGTGCAAAGTCATTAAAATCGAACCAAAAGTCTAGGAGGAGTAGCAGTTTGAATGAATTTTACAAAAAATTATCTCTTTTTTACCAACCATGATAATAAAGTTAAAAGAAAAAAAATTTTAATCGATGAACAATGCTCCAAACATTAATGAAATCCAGGTTCAAAGCTGTAGGAGGAATACAGTTTTTCTGTCTACGTTATTGCATTCGGGAGAACCAGCTTGCTCCTACGTAAAAGTTAAAGGTTTTGTGTATGGGATTGAGGTTGGAGACGTAATCAAGTATTCAAAGTTAATACCTATACATTAAAACGATTATACATTATGTATACAATGTTCATTCCTTCTATAAACTACGAGATACACAATATCATCAATCAGATTAAAATCAGATCCTTTGATCCTTTGGCCAGCACTTTCAACCTTTGACTTGATTTTTGTGTGGCGATCTATGTGAGCGGATCAAAGAATCTGATTTTAATCAGATTGAATATCATATTTTGTTCCATGAAGTACATTGTTAAAAGTATGCTTTTAATATATCTTATATAACACCTCGGAACCTTAAATTTTTTGGTGTTCCACAATTCTGAAAACCAGAGGAGTTCAAAGTAACTTTGAGAGTATATTTGGCGAGATTTAGCGATACTACAGCAAGATAAGGTAATTAATTATTCTAAACGTGGCTAGGAAGTGACTACCACGTGGAGACATGGTAATAAAACGGAAACGTTATGTTGAGTTTTAGTTTTCTGCACCCTATTATCTCTGCAGAATAGTACTTAGTCAATAAAACTTAAAGAAATATTATTCTTTATGACATTATGCGCTGCAGTCATGTATTGCATTTGATTTTGGACAAATTTCCATGAAAACTCGGACTACATTTATTGGCATCGGACACGCATATGATGTACCAAAATGGCTTTAACTGAAAAATCATAACAATTACTGAACGAGAACTGAGTTGTGGGTTACCTAATATTTAAGAAAATTGCATATAAAACTGTTCTTGTGCTCATGATATTCTTTGCTCTTTTCAGGCCTTTGCTGTTTTGGCAAGTGTATCTCATTGTAAATTTGTTTTGGAGGTTTAAAGCAAAATGGATTCAAGTTTTCTTATCTGTCTGAATTTCAGACAAACAAGCCTAGGATAAGTACATTTTTTTATTTTTTAAAACAATTTGCTAGAAATTCCTACACGCTGACGTTTTCACTCATTTTTCAAAATATTGGGTGACCTTTGAGTAATAAACTTTTTTACTATCCAATGTTTCTTTAAAACAGTGTGAACTACCCCCAAAATGATGTCTTTCAAATTTCCTGTGTGTCTTAAAGTCAATCAAACATATCAATGATAATTTGTTGAATTTTCGCAAATATACATCTGTTGTTGTATGTCCTTGTCGCCAATGACGGTACCTATTTTTGAAGTCCATTATATCATTTTTATTTATTGAAATGCACCTGCTCCTGTGTGTATAAAACAGACATTGGTTGCTGTTAATTTCACATATCTTTGGGATTCTGAACACGTTTTACAGCAGCTTTAATGGAGAGTTTAATTTCATCTAGTTTACTGATTCTTGACCATTCATGTTAAATGCAGTGTCTCGACTAGCCGTTGTTTTCCAGCTTCTCACAATGGAATTATGTGATGAAAAGCTGTCACTTAAACTGTTATCAACTCATTAAAGATTCAATAATTAGAGAAAGTCAAGCTTAATGGCATATGATTTCTATGTTGTATGTCATCGAGCTGATGACTTTATTTATTGAATGCCCCTCGTAAATGAATATTGGTTTATTTCCGTGCTTAGAAATACAAACAATTCAATTGTTTTAATTTTAAACGTGGAGTTCGTAGTTTCTGAAGTCCGTACTGCAAAGAAAATTGTGTTTGTATTCCTTTGTTGAACTATCGTTGATCATGAATAAAAGTATCAGGTGGATTTTCTGGTCAAAAACATATGATCAATGGTATTGTTATGTGAGGAAAAAAGTTTGTTTTTCTTTTAATATATCTGATATGCTGCTCGTTTTCCTTACACTCAAAACACTGGTGTCCTAAACTTGGCACTGACTACATTTTAATAAATATTTTTATATATGATTGTGTTTTCTAGTAATCATCAAACTACAAACGCCCTTGACATCTTTCATAAGTTATATTTACAGTACTTTCTTTCGTTTGTAAGGAATTGATTGTACAGAGAGGCGTGGCAGTCGAGTCGCGCAGCGGAGGACATCCGAATGGAGTACCGTAGTCACAGGTTTCAAAGTTATGGAATGCATTGTGAAAAAGTCCGAATGCATACTTGTATATTATACGAACATGTATCAGTGTGCATGTAACTCAAGGAACACAGGAAACAGGTACTTTTAAGAAAATCATCAAACTGCGCGTGTTTTCTATATTGTAAGATTTAAATTATCTGTTTTCATTTGAATATACATGTTTTTCGTGAAATTCTGTGTATTGTTTTTATTTTTTGTTTAAAGCGTTAACTAATGAGTTTACATACTCTTGAAAATGGTTTTCACGTAATTCAGGGATGGAGTCGATTACATTATAAAGT